TACTCAAGATCCAAATACATTAAATTATATGATAGTAATGAAATATGCAAAAAATAGCAATTTAAGAAAAAATTTATCAAATATAGCTAAAAATAGATGGATTATTAAATTATTACAATTATATAATATTATTGGTAGACTTGATGAAATACATTAAAAAAATCTTATTCATTGTGATTTTCATTTTAGTAATATTTTAAACTTAAAAAATAATATTTTATCTGTTAGTGATTTAGAATTATGTAAACCTGTAAAATATTTTCAATCATCTATAAATTCTAAAAAGTCTTGGTCATTTTTTTTATTTAAAAAGCATAATATCATTTCATCTAAAAATAATATATTTATGAAGTTTTACCATTTGTAGTACCTGAAGTTATTATAGGTCAACCTTATACTTTAGCTAGTGATATTTATAATTTTTCTATGATTATGTGGGAATTTATATCTGGAGTTTCTCCATTTGATAATGAAGCTTATGATTTTCAACTTGGTTTAGATATATGTAAAGGTAAACGTCCTAAAGATATTAAAAATATTCCACAATGTTATATAGATTTAATGAAAATATGTTGGAATATAAATCCATTAAAAAGACTAACTGCATTAGAAATCAAAAAGATTATTGAAAATTGGAAAGAAAATATTATTTTTAATGATTTTAAAAAAGAATTAAAGAATCTTATTTTAGATTTTTATAAAGCAGATAAGGCATTAGAACAAATAAAAAATAATGATAATAATGATAAAATTACTATAAAATCACATTCACAAGACTATCATACAAGTCGTTTACTTGATTTTACTGAGAATTTAAATAAATTTTTAAATCAAAGTAATACTACAGTAGGCCGCCAAAAGTCTCTGAACACCATTTTTTAGGTGTAATTTAATGCTGTTAACATCATGTGACTTAATAATACTGCAGTTATATGATGTTTCGGACCTTGTTTACATAAATCAAACCCAATAAATGCGTGTTCAGTTTGTTTATTTTGATTTTAAATCAAAATAAACTTTAATCCCAAAAATACCTAAATAATGTCTAAAGAATTAACTGCAGAACAACGTGGTGCTATATTTTTTTGTCATCAATGCGGTGATAGTTATCGAATTATTGCCACGACAGTCAGATGTAGTTTGTCAACAGTATTTGACACTTTGAAAAGAATGGATGACACCGGAACAACTAATTCGAGCCCTCGCTCTGGTCGACCATCCCTTCTTGGACCTTTACAACAAAACCGGCTTAAGAAATTTGTAACCAATAATAATGGAAAGAACCGTCACTTATGTACTTCAGAAATTCAACAATTCTGGAATAAAAAGACTGGCCAAGTTATTTCATCTCGCATTATTGGCTGTGCACTTCGTATTGTTAGATTAAATAATCATATTACTCGACGCAAGCCTCTAATCTTATTAGTAAATATGGAGGCACGTCTTGCATGGTGCTTAGAACATTAAAGTTGGACAAAGAACGATTGGTCAAAAGTTCTGTGGAGTGACGAGTTGACTTTTTCTCAATTTCAACAATCTCGGTGCAGTAGAGTTTGGGGAGAGCCTAGTGAAGAATACAACATTTCTTGTGTTTCTACAGTAGTAAAGCATAACCCAAGTTGAATATTTTGGGGATGCTTTTTGAGACAAGGTGTAGGACCTATTGTTCTGTTATTTAGTACAGCAACTGGTGTCTCATATGTTACTATCCTTCAAAGGATTGTCATGTGAACCATGAGGCGTGTATTTTCAAATGATGATAGTTAGTTTTAGGAGGATAACGCTCGTCAACACACATCGAAAGTTGTGAAGAAATTTCACACAGAAAATGGCTTACGCAAACTTTCTTAGCCGGCTCAAAGTCCAAACCTCGATCTGATTGAAAACCTGTGGGCAGATGTTAAGAAAAGCATTTGTGAAAGGAAAAATATGCCTTCCAATATTGCTGAACTCGAACGACATGTTAACAAGGCATGAAGAAAAATTCCGATACAAACTATTGAAAATTTAGTCGATAGTATGCCACAGCGAATTCAAGATGTGATTAAAACAAAGGGTGGTCCAACTAAGTATTAGTTACTTAGTACAAAACTTAGCGAATATCTTATTTTAATAAAAATATTAATAAACTTTTTTTATTCATATTATAAAATTATAAGTTTTTTAATGAGCCAAAAAGTGTTCGGAGACTTTTGGCAGCCCTTTGTATAATAGAAATTAGTCAAAATTTTGGTAATTATATTAAATTTTTATTAATCAAAAATTTTTAAATAACTTTATTTTTTTATACTAATATTTATTTTAATTTATAGAGGAGTTAACAGATAATTAATAAGTATTTTTAATTTAAATGTATAATATTATTTATATTTTAAAAGAAATTTAAAATATTTAATTTTTGTATATTAAAATTTATTTATTGTCAAATTCTAATTTTATAAATATTTATTTAATGAACACTACTATATATAAAGTAAATTTTATATTACAAATAGCAGTTTGTAATTATTAAATAAACAAATTATTTTTTTATATTACAATAAATATTTAAATATTTATTAAATTTTTTTATTTATTTATAAAATGTTCTATATTTAGAGAAAAAATTTTTTTAATTTAAGTAACTTGTTATTTCTATATAATTTAAAATATTTGAAAAAACTATAAATCTATAAACAAATTATTTTTCATTATATTATTATTATATTGGGAGTGTTGCCAGTAAAAATCACATTACAGATCATATGATTTATTATATTTCATGACTTGATTTTTACTAGCAACATTTCCGATATGGACCAAATTTTTTTAATTTCAATAGCATTTGCTTTATCATATTTTGAAAATAATATGATGATGATGTAAGTTTCCTACAGATTGTCATACTTGATATAAGAATGCATTTTTCGATAAGTATTTTTAGAAAATTTGAGAATATCAAAAAAAATATTTTTTCTAGCAAAAGTACCAACTTCAGCTATGGAATTTTTTACAATTCTTGAAACTTTGAAACTTGTATAAAGTGCATTATAATAAAAAACACTACTCCAAGTATAATAGTAAAAGAATACAAAGTAGCATATATAATTATAATTCGTTTTACGTTGTCCTTATAATTATAATTATTCTCCACGGCTTTCTTCAATCTTTCCAAAATTAATTTGTGTTTGTGTCCATTCGCCCTCGGTTTGCGAAGTTTTTGTCAGTTGTTTTTTTTTTCGGTTTTTTTTTTTCCTCCATTTCAACCAAAATATGAAATTAGTAATGATTTATTATAAAAAGATCAATTTCCCAATTAGTAATTTTTAAAAGACACACCGTTTTTGTAATTATTCAACTGCCATACCTGTATTGCCAATAAATATCAAAAAAAAAAAAATGCATAACATTTTTGGGTGTTCGTAAATAAAAAGATTGTCGATCAACAACTTTCCCAATTAGCAATTTTTAAAAGTCCATCTTTTTTTTTTAAATGGTGAAATTGAATGAGTGAGTCCAATTTAATACATCAAAATACAGTAAATCTATTTTGTCCATCGTCATTTCCCATCCAAATTAGTAGTTTTTAAAAGATGTTAAGATGTCATAAAGCATAATTTCTCCAAAATTTAATGAAATCATGTTACGAAAATAAATCACAGATATTAAAAACTCACATGAATAGCTTAACCTTGCATATCTTCAATAACTCAAATCCTAGATTTATGCCATAACTTCGCGGTATAATTCATTATATCTAACGAAAATGGAAGTGAAAATTATTATGAAGCATAATGTCTCCAAACTTAATGACCTCTTGCATTAAAACTTTTTTAAAGATGCCTTTTGTAATAAAGGCTCAAACGAATAGTTTTTCACATATTTACCTTGCATATCAGTAAATTTTCAACATAGAATTATACAAAAATGAACATAATATAGGTCTACCATTTCCATATAAAGAGGATTAGGTGCATCAGTAGAAGCCCAACCAACAACTTGAACGTAGAAAGTCGTACAGAAAAAAACTTTAAACTGAGATTGTATAGAAAAATTAAATATATCAGAAAACATATAGTTAGTATTTTTTGAAAGGTATGGTAAATTTAATATTACTAAATTAAACTAATTATCTGTTACAAAAATTGCAAATAATAACAAACTATATTTAAAACCTTTCTTGCGTTCAAAGTAAACTTGCAGAGAAGACAAAAACTATCTATGATGATTAATTTAAACCAAATAATCATACAAAAACTTTATTGACTAGACGGTTGATTTTCTTATTTCAGATATTGTAGGAAAATGTGCTAAAAATTTGAACGAAAAGGTACTAGGATTACTTCACCCTGCACAGTCCAGAAAGGTAGTGCTTTTTTGGCACAAAATTGCATAAAATCGTATAGATTTTTTCATAGAGAAGCCACAAGCTCTTTGAAGAACTCGCGCCTGTAATTTATCAAATGAAAATTATCAAGTAAAGACTATTAATTTCCTGTCAAAAGATTATGTCATACGCTATCTTTTTAAAATCTTGATATATTATCATTTAAAAATGATATACACTGCCTCAAGTGAAATCATTCCATAAAGAAATGTTCATGTTAATGCTTTACTGTGTTCCTTTAGACCAATAAAGTTGATAAGACAAAGCCATGTGAAAGTGCACACAATGTAACACACGAGGGACAAAGCTTTATTAGCAAATTTATTAATTTAAACAGTATCTCACCAATATTTTATCAATCACATCATAAACGAAAATGAAGCAGGTGTTCATTAATATAAAATAAAAATAAAGCTAAATGATCGTGAATTGTAAATATTTATTTTTAAAATTTCTGTAACTTGCTGTGTAAAGCTATTTTTGTTTAGTAGGTTTGTTTTTTTAAAGTAAGTTTTGTAAAACGATTATTACCCGCTGTTCAAAAAAAAAAAAAAAAAAAAAAAAATAATATAACAGGTAATTTAAAAATAGATTATTTGTTAAAACGATTACGAGTTGAGCGAATGTCGATCACTTTTTAAGGAATTTTAAGACAAATATGTTTCGACGGCGTCCAAGCTTATTCGGAAATGCTTCTAGGGAAAGTTAAATATAGTCATTACTGCGTTCTACCAAAGTATAAGGTCTAATAGTGGGACAAAAAAAATGAGAATTAAAAAACCGGTCAACAACATTCAATTATTATAGTAAATCACGTGAAAATTTTTTTATTTAAAGTCAAAGACCAGATAACTTTATTAAAAAATTAATATGGTATACGTTCATTTTTTTCAATAATTAATTCGCAACGTCGTTTCATTAAATTTGAAATATTAATTAGAACAGTATCTGGAAGATTTTGCACCATAAAATGTTCCAGATCATCAAGATTTTTTGGCATCTGCTTCTTTATCTTACTTTTTATAATTGTCCATAAATTTTTAATAGGGTTTAAATGGGGCTATTCGATGGCCAATCTAAGACTACTGGAAGTTTTCTTGGAGGAAAGCTTTTGTAAGATGACTCATATGCTTGGGGTCGTTGTCTTGTTGGAAGCACCAACGACCAACAAGACTCCTAGACATCTTTCTACATAAAATTCAGCGTTAATGATCTGTCTAAAGCAAAATAAACTTGTTTTTCCTTTGCAATAAAACCACCCATGCCATTATTTTTGTACGATCCTATGGCATACGACGATCTGGCCTTTCCCCTTTATAGTTCTACAGTATTTTTGAAAAGCTGGAATGCTGTTTCATTGGTAAACATGGTTTTATTCCATCGGTTGTTAATATGTTTTCATGCCCACTCTACCCGCTTTAACTTGTGTGCTTCAGTTAGCATTGGAGTTGCTTTAGGTAGTCTTTTTAAATAACCAGCACAATAAAGATGACTTCCGACATTTCTATATGATGCTTCTATACTTATGTTTTCTAGTTTTCTTACCAAAGTTCTTGTGGAAAGAGAAGTATCATGTCTTAAATATTGGCCAAGTGCACGGGAAGCACTTGCGGTGATTTTTTTGGATGACAATTATCTCCAGCATGCTTTATTAACCACTTTTTTTATTTTTTCAATTTTTCTATAAATTCTGGATAGTGGCGATGAGATCAATTTATATCACATGACTAATTTTCTCATTTTTTTTTGTCCCACATTGTATTTTTGATTTAGATACAGTTTCACAAAGCTTTAAAGCATGATAATAAGTAGAAATTATTTCTATCGAGAGGACTGTCGCATAATAAATATGTAAAGCGAGTCATACTTGTCTCAAAATTTTATTCACGCTTAAATCAAAAATTGACCCTTAATACAATTATTTCAAGAAGGTTTTCTTAAAGTTTCAAAGTCATTTCTACGCATGTATTTTTGCAACTTGGAAGCAGGATTCCCGACCAATAACGTAAATTTCTTAGATTCATCCACAACATTTAATTCAGAAATTAGTTTTTAATAGGGATGGTCATACTCGATCAACGGTCAAGCCGTTTAATTATTAACTCAACATTTTTTGGCTAATTATACTGTTTTATATTAGCCAAATATTTTTTAAACTTATTTATATAAAATAATTTCATTGAGCCGTTAATTATAATTAGGCAATGCATTATCGCAAACTTCAATATTGTTTTTAAAGAAGTTTAATAAGTTTTAATTTATATTTATAGTAAATAAAAAAATATTTCTTGTTAATTTAAAACTTAAATACTTTACTAATTAAAAAATGTTTGTTAAGATATTCAAAAAATCTCAAAATCAATCGGTCAAGTTCATCAAAATCGTTCAAAATTATCGGTCAGCCGGTCGGTCAGAAGCCTTATATCGGTCATGATTATGACTTACTGACCGTGAACATTTGCGTCCCTAGTTTTTAAATGACAAACCTGAATAATTAGTAGCACCAGCCGATTGCGTCGGAGTCGAAGGCTGAGTCGACTCTGCATAAATCAATTAAAGTCAACTCCAAAATTTCAAATGAATGAGTCTTGTTCCAGATTTGATATAATGTCAGAAAATTATGAACTTCTCAATTAATATATTAAAATATTAATAATTCGCTAATTTCGTACTATTGTGAATAATTAATCGTAGAAAAATATTCAAAATCCAAAATTATTTGCAAAATTAGGTTAGGTGACTTTTTCATCCATCCCATTATCTGCATTATAAAAAATTTTAAATTATTCTCGATAAAAGATATTTGATTATTGAACGCATCAGTAAAAGAATAGTAAATGATTTAAACTAACCACTTTTATTTTTCTAAGACAAATTCGAGCACAATTCCCGTGAGCCAACTTAAAAGCTCTCGTTCGGCCTGCGAACTAATTTGTGCTTCGAGCCAGTCTATTCATGAAAAATCGAAATTTTTTTAATTTGAAACTTTAAAGTGTATTTTAAACAAGTTAAAAACGACCCTAGCGTCCCTGAAAAATAGATAGCCGGATTTATTTTACAGGGCATACAATATTAGGATATAACAATGACAATTATAATTTTTCTCAGAATAATCGTCATGATATCAAAAATTAAGTTTTCGGCTAATCTACTTTTTAAGACGTCAATCTTCCACTTTAGCATTGATTTACTGATTACATATGCACTTTCCATTGTCTTCAAATTAAGCTTTTCCGATCAACAGTCAACAAAGTCAACAAATCTAATTAAAAAATTTTTTTTTAATAAATAATAATGATGATGCGAACAATATCTTCTTATTTTAGCAACAATTTCATTTAATCCTTTAATAAACTTTGTTTATTTATGTATTAAATGTAATATAAGAAATTGGTATATATTAAAAAATTATATACAGGATTATATAATATCAAGGAATGCTAATTTATGATATTTTGAACTATATGGAGACCCCACAGCAAAAGTTTACAATTCTACTTCAAAGAAAAAATAAAAACTGCTTTCTTTTCCAAAATCATATCTTGAAAATTTTCCAAGCGTATAAAGTATGTTTATCTAAAAATCAATTTAGAGAATGATTTTTTCTCAAATAACTATTTAGGAAAGTCCAATTACAACTTTTATCTAATACAAATGCCGATTGGATTTAGGAATTTTATGGAATCGGATGTATACCTCTTAATATACCGTGAAGGTTATTTAATAATACTTATTTATTTATATTAAACGTATCTTGATTATCATTAAGTCCATAAGGCCCGACTTATTCGCTAGAATATGACATCAAGTCCAAAACGTTTTTTGTTATTCGACAAATAATTGATCGAAATCAAAGATCATAAACCTCCGGGCAGATGTAATCGATCTATGCCAGTCAAACTATATTGTTATTATGCCGGTTTATTTTTAAAAAGAGATTCTTTCCATTTTAAAGTATATTATTTTTTCATTTGCAAAATAGTGTTATGAATAAATATAATATAAATAAGCTATATTATAAATGTAGTAAAATGCACCTTATCGTTTCGTATAATGAAACGACGAAATATTTCAAATTATTACTATTAATGGCTTACTGATAATTGATTTTATTAACGAATTACCTGGAGCGAGCGACACATAACTCTTTTTTTTTACGATTTCCTTTGAAAATTAAAATTCGTACGTGTCTATCGTGTTTATCAACATTGATTCGAACAATAGCTAAAAGCAAAGTGTAAAATAAAATTTAAAAATCATGATTTCAATACGGATTTTTGAAAAACAATTGCATGAAACATTACGTCATGCATCTAATTGATCAATAATTTGATTTTCTGTCCAAAATATGAAATATATTTTAGGTACCGGTTATAAACATAAAAATAATTGCTCGAACAACCTCCGCAGTTCCCGTGGTAACTGAACTTCCCTTTTATCTCAACGACAAAAAAGCTCGGGCATGTGACTCCTTCTCCCATTTTGACGTTTAAAAAAAATATTATTATTTTGAAGTACTTAAAATTATTGATAGATTTTAATTTTTCTGTTAATTTCATAATAAAGTAATGAATTTTAAAGAAATTTATTATATAAATAGTAGAGTAGTATACATATAAACTGTACTGTACGAAAGTAATTACAACCAATCATATTTCATTATATCATAATTATACAAAATCAAAAAAGTATGAAATATGATTGGTTACAATCAATTTTGTACAGTACATTTCAGCTGATCGTACCGTACAGTTTATATGTATACTCAATTATTCTCCTTGATTTCTTGCTTTCAATCAAAAAGGAGATTGCGAATTTGTTTTACAATATAAAGAATTCAGATGTAACACTTCCTTTTTGAATCACTGTACAACTCAGTTGTTGAATACCATCCATCAAAAGGAAATCTTTTTCCAAGTTGTGAAAGAGGATTAAAGCTTGAAGATTTTACAGATTATTACTGGATAATCTTGCTATAACGGCTCTTTTATCATACCATTTACATAATGTAATTTTACATTGAAACCATATGAAATGACTTGCATTAAACTGCGCAAAACTTTGTCTGTTAAAAAGAATTTTTTAGACTACAACCCTGATTTTTTATAAATATAAAACAAATTTTTTTTTATTACTCCTGTTCGTATTCCTACTTTGTATTTGCCATTATTTTCAAGAAATAAGTATGAAATGCATTATTTTATAAACTGAAATTTTTGAACACCATTACATTTAAATTTTTCTTTGATGGATCAGAATTCTTTGTTGTTTTTTTCAAAAAAAATGTTTCGTTTGAATAGTAAAACCAGTAAGTATTGTCGGATGTAAATTCAGCTATATTCTTCAATTAATTCACCAATTACATTAACGAGATCTTTACTTGAAATATTAAAGCCTCTAATCATTATTCCGCAATGGAAATGCAACTCTGATGATATATTTCCAAAAAATCCATAATAGTTTCGCTAAGGAAATTTAAGCCAACCATATCTAGTTCACTAACAAGCAAACTATTATCTAGTATTACAGGAATTTTTTATTTTAGATAACCTTAGACGACAAGTTTTACAAGTTTTTAAAACTTTAGATATACCACTAACTCCTTTATCTATAAATTCTGGTCATTGCAAAAAAGTTTCAATCGAAACGGATTCCATATATTTAAAAAAGCAGTATTAAAGTTATTAAAATATATAAATTTCATATTTTTTTTAACTTTTTTTATTGATATCAATAAAAATTCAAATATTAAACGCGAAAATACTAATGATGTGATATGATGAAATAAATTACATCACAAAGTGCGCAGCAAGCTACAAGTAGTCACGTGTCTGAGAAGGAGACATGCCCGAGCTTTGTTTCCAAATATGTCTTCGACCACATGCTATACTATGGCACAGGTATATAATGAGCTCTCTCACAATATTTACTTTTTACTGTTTTCGACACTTTCATACTTTCATCACTTTCATCATGCCTCGACGTGCTCAAGTTACTAATAGCCAACTTTTAACTAAACTAAACTCCATCGATAGAAAACTAGATGATATGGAGAAAACTATTCATTATCGTATGTATTCATTTATAACAAAAAGTAATTTAGTTTAGACATATTACTAACTTTTTTTTAGAAGAAATGCGCTCAATCGCGAGAACGAGAAACGCCGTTCTTTACAACAACCATAAAGACATTGAACTTCTATTAATCGATCAAGGAGGCGTACCTATGAATTATCCTACGAGGGCTATAGATATCGCGAATATACCAATAAACGAAATTAATGATATCTTACAAGTTCATGGACTAGTTTCAGATGAAAACGAAAGCGATGATTCTCGCAGAAGGCGACTTGCAGAATTTCTGGGAGTAATGTTACCATAATGTATAGGAGGGTTTGTTTTCTTTATTCAACATAATATATTACATAAATTCTCATTATCACACTGCTTTAAGCTTTTATTTTATACAACTAAAATAGTTTCTGCATAATTAATAATATTCATATTGCTATATGCTTTGTTAACCAAGTTTGTATAAACACATTATGTATGTCAAGTAGATTTATTTGAATTATAAAAAATTGGATTTAACATGCGATATAATACGAAAATCTCTATAAAATTATATTTCCTTGATTTTTATTCCATACGACGCGAGTAGGGAGGAGAAAAATTACGGTACGGTTCGGCTAATCCGTAAGGAACATCAGCCGAACCGAACTGCCCCTTATTTTTATACTTTTTGCCGAATAATTTCATTTCAACTTCTAGTTGTAAAAAAAAAGGATATCGATGAATTTGTATAATGATAACCGGGTATCCTTATTTTATCCACGGGATACGGATATCAAAATGGCTGGAGTAAAATTACAATATTTTTTTTTTTTGCTTTATGTACTTATTTATCGGATCCGAAACAAAGATTTTTTTTTATTTGATACCGCGTGGCTTTTTTCTTCTCATACTCATATATTATAATGTCGATTTTTGAGTTACTTTCATTTGAACGCTTAACGATCCATATTGCGCCACATTTTTTTTTATGTTCGTGAAAATAAAAAATTTACTTAAAGAAAAGTTATAAATTGAATGAACTTTCCAGAAACATTTCGTTTTTTAAATAAATAAAAAAAAATATGAATTTATTTTTATACACAATAATTTTCGCGTTAATCACATTATCATCAGTTATTTCACAGGAAGCAACAAATGATGATGCATGTGCGAGAATAACAATTGAATATAAATATTCTAAAAGCAATCCAGAATTTAGCGCGAAATATTCTGATGTGAAGGCTTGCCTTGAATCGTTTCCTTATGATAAAGAGATAGCCGAAAGTGTAAATTTTTTGAAAAAAAAGTTTCTATTGCAAAATTTATTTATTTATATCCATTTTTTTTTCACTTTTTTTTTCTTTTCAGACGATCGAAACGTTAAAGAAAACAATTCAAGGATTTTATGTATATCTATCACAAGCTAAAGAAGAACCACAGCAAGGATTTTCTTTTAGAGCCGTTGATTTGATTAAAGAACTAGACGCATTATTATCAAAGAATTACACGTCCGAGTTTCAATTCATGGTAATAATCTTTTATTACGAGTATTTTTTTCGTTTGTTTTAAAACATAATTTAATTTTTTTTAAGTTCTACTTTGTCCTAACATCTTCTAGTATGATGTAAGAACATTATTTTACGAATTGAAAGATGCTCATCTATCGCTTTCTCCAGATTGTTACACAAACGCATTCTTGTATAGCCAACAACTTTCATTATATTCAGTAATTAATAAAGAAGGTGTGCAAATAATCAAAATATTCGATGATGAAATAGATGGTGGCAACTTTGATTGTGAGGTGACACACATTGACGGAAGACCTTCAATGGAAGTTATTCAAGAATTTGCAGATACAATGATATTTTATTCAAAAGACGCAGGAGTAAGATTTAATATGGCATTAGCAACTTTAATAATTGATGAGATGGGAGTAAAAGAAATCGCTGAATTCTCTAACTTGTTCACATCAGAAATTTTCTTCCAGAGAAATCATCAATAGAATACTCCGTTATATGTGCAAATGATGTAAAAACAAAATTTGTAAGAGAATGGAAGATTGGATCACAGTATTATGGTAGATTTAATACATCAAAAGAATTTCGGGACGCACTTTGTCTATTGAAAGATATTCCAACCAATCCCTCCGATATATTCAGTGAAATTTATAAGCCTAAAATTTATAATAACTCTATGAGTGAAGGCGAGGTAGTCTATAACACATTGATGGCTACTTTTTTCATATTGAGTGATAATAAAATAGGTGTAGTGACCATTCCAGCACTTGTTTCGTTAATTGATAATGTAGACCAAATGTTTGAATTACAAACCGGCTTTAGCTTATTAGAAGACAAAGGCGTAACTAAAGTAAGTATATAGTTAAGGCTAAAATTAATTAATTAAAAAAATTTTAACCAGATTATATTTTTAATAGATCGTACTGGATTTTAGCGCGAATGTAGGAGGAGATGTTATTTTAGCATTATTTTTTGTTTATTTATTATTACCGGATTCTAGTCCATCATTCAACTACGATATGGTAGTTAGCGAATTGTCACGGGAATCATTGAAACTGCAACAGCACAATCAATTCATATAAAAGATAAAATACAATTCACAATACCACCAAGCCTAAGTATTAAAAACTTGACTAGATGGGCTGCAAGGACCGCGGACTTGGTAGCAGAATCTAACTCGATATTCGACATTTTCGGCTACAAAGATCCAAATTCAGATAAACACTTTAGCAGCTTAGACGAATTTATTGGTAATCATACATACGTAAGGGGAGAAACACCGATGTCATATACATCGAATTTTATAGGGAGATATTCACAAAAATTTAGTCTATTTGTCAAATTATTAGCAGGAAATATTAACGAATATAAATGGAATAGTGAAGATATTATGATATTAACCAATGGAAATTGTGGTTCATCATGCTCAACGATTACTCATCGCATGGCAGAAAGATTTAACGTCAGCACCGTTGTAGGTGGAGGTTATAAGGATACACTATTATCTTATGCTTCATTTCCCGGTGGTCAATCTTACGATTTTAATGATTTATATAATGAATTATTTAATATTGGGATATTGCAAAATGAAACATTAAAAGATTTAATTCCACCTCAATTTAAGATTTTTGCATCTTTTGGGTTTACGATAAAGGAGAATTATGATATCAATAATCATGATGTATTAGAATATACTTATGAACCAGCTAAACATAGATTATACTATGACGAGAAAAGTGTGAGGGATCCTAGTATATTATGGCTAAAAGCTGCTAGTTTATTGTCCTAAAATGGCAAATCTTTAAATAAAATTATTTTCTCAATTCTATAATTTAAATAAGGGTAAACTTTGATTCGCATAGAAATCAAGCAATCTCCATTGTAATGATGAAATGGATTGTTTATTTTACTTTTTCTCTTTAATTTATTTGCTTATTTACATTGTTTGAAGTCAAGAAAAACTCGAATAGAAGACTCAAGAATTCGTTCCTATAAAGCAAACTAATTTTATATTTATAAAAAATTTTGCATGGGTTCGTACCGAATTTTTTTGTGTAGTTATTTTAATCTTCATACAAAAATGATTGTTACATATAGTGAAATCGTACAGAAAAATAATTTTGAATTTTGAAATAATAATTAGTTGTACAAATTTTGACGCAGAAATTACAAAAATATTTGTTAACATCTTACATTTGTGAAAAGATCAAACAATATATCTGATATTCCAAGCTATTGAAGCTTATAATAAAGTAATTTTATATTTAAAACAATGGGAAGAAGTTTTTAATGTGAATTTTAAGATATCATATAATGATCAAATATAAAGTGTGTAAAGTTATATGATTACCGAATATTAAATTCATGCGTTATGTTATAAACAATTTACTAATTAAGCTAACTAATATTACGTGTTAGTGATAAATATTAAATTTTTTATTTAATATTTTAAAAAAAATAGATTACTTACCTCTAATTCTTTTAATTCAAATTCCAGGATTCCGGAGAGCCCGGCAACCTACAAAGAGAGGTAAGTAAAAATGTTATTTTTTTTTTAATATTATAAAAAAAAAGATTTCTTAACTCCAATTCTTTGGAAGGCTTCGGCATCTCACAAAGAGAGGTAAATAAAATATTAATTTATTTGATATCTTAAAATGAATCTACGACAAATCCAGGATTTTGAAGGGCTTCAGCACATAAAAATTGGGAAATAAAATATGTTTTTATTATATTTATAGTAAATTAAAGTGATTAACGTATAGCATTTTAAATTCTTTTATTTTATTATATTTTAAAATTTTTTTTAAAATTTGTAACTTTATTTTCTTTAATTAGTAAAGTATAGCATATTGTAATTATTAGAAGCATCTTGTAGCTGAAATAAGTATAAAATTTTTATTCAGGTCAACAAAAAATGGATATATAAATATATAATGATGTTAAATTCTTGTATAAGACAAAATATGTACAATTTGATATAAGTATTTGTTGTTATGTGAATGAATGTTCTTTTACTTTTATAATAAAAGATTCTTGTAAACCGCATTGCAATGAATGAGATAAATCGATAAGTTGCGTGAGGACGAAGTCCCCAATACCCGCAATTTCTAGTTAATAGTATATAATTGTAACATTAAAAAAATTTTAAATCGAAAAATAAAAATAAAAATAAATAAGCATGTCACGTGATAGACACTTTCTTGCGAAACAGAATTTTTTTGATTAATTTGTTTTTAAATATTAATTTTCTTACAATAACTATTATAAATAAAGCTCTAAATTTGTTTTATAAATTATTACAACTGTTCTATACTTAAAATATTAAAAAATTAACCCGATTTTTTATTTTCAAAACTGGAATCGATAATCGTTTTTAGTTTTCGATTAATCGTTTTAAAAATTGATTTTTGCCGATTCGACTTTCGATTTTGATTTTTGAAACGATTCCAATCCATAACCGTGATGATTATTTAATAATACTTATTTATTTATATTAAACGTTATCAGTAAGTCCAGAAGGACCAACTTTAAGTCCAAAATTATTATTTATTATTCGACAAGTAATTGGTCGAAATCAAAACCATAAACTTCCGGGCAGCTGCGTAATACTTGATGATTTTAACAGAAGCTTTCAAAGATTACATTCGTAATCGGTCAAACTATCTTGAAGACATCTCAGTTGTTATTCCGATTTATGTTTAAAAAGAGATCCTTTCCATTTTCATTTGCGAATAAATCCAAACAATGTTATGAATGAATATAATATAAATAAGCTATATTATCAATTTAGTTAAAATGCACCGACGAATATTACCTTTTTATTATGTAACTGCCTGAAAATTATTGTTATTAATGGAATGGCTTTACTTTTTAAAACGAGTAAAACCTTGACGACATAATCTTTTATTACGATTTCCTTTTAAAATAATGATTCACACGTCTATCAGCATTGATTCGGACAATAACTAAAAGCAATGTGTAAACTTAAATTTGTATCATGATTTTGAAAAACAATTGCATTACTTTATGTACCCAAATGATCAATAATTTGATTATCTATCCAAAATGTGAAACGTATTTAGGTACCGAATGAAAAAAATAAATTGCTCGATCTAGATGAACAACAACCTCCGTAACTGAAAATGTGTGGCGCTACTTTCCTTTTATCTTCCCCAGCAGGGCATCCTTAACCTACTTAACCTAAGATAGGGTGTAGACTTTTAACCTAAATCGAGTTTGTACAATAATATTAACGAAATTTTATTGGACGAAATTAGTCGAGTTTGTGGAAAAAATATTCTTGCGATATTTTTTTCAAGAAAAAGTTTGTTTACAATAAAAAAGAGAAATGAAGAAAGTTAGATAATGAATCATAACTATCTTTACTTTATTTATTAGTATATGCTTTAAAATGGTATTTCATTCTTTATATCTTGTTTTATTTAATATTTCCGATATTAAATATGCTTTTCAAAGAGAAAATTCGCGTTTAAAAAGAAATACTAAAAATATTAAATAATAATATTCAAAAATTGGTATTTCATGTGTTAGCATGTGCTTCAAAGTAGTATTTTATTTATGCTTTATTAAATTTATTTATTTAATATATCTAATAAATAAATAAATAGATAAATTTATATTTTCTTTTCTAATTGAAAATAAAAATTTTAAGCTTTCTGTGATGTTTTTTTTTTAATGTTAGTAGCAATATTCATGTTTTACAGCATTTCGTGCCTTTCCTTCACCTTCAAGTGCTTTTAAAAGAAAATATTTAATAAGCTTTTTTACACATTAAAAAATAGTTATTTCCTTAAGGTAGATAAGATATAACATACACTTTCCAATATAAAATTGATAAAAGCAATCGTATACGAAAGAAATAACCTAACGAAAAAAAACAGTAAAAATAAGTTATAGTATTCCTATATATAAATGTTTAAACATCACGTTACCGATCACGTGCTAAACCACAGGTATACAATGAGCTCATACTCTCAATATTTTCTTTTTACTGTTTTCAACTCATTCACATTTTCATCACTTTAATTATGCCTCGACGTACTCAAGTCCTTTTGAATTTCTCCTTTTCTACTTAAAGATTTTCTTAGACTTTTTCAATATTTGAACAAAATCAACCAAGCAACTAATAGCCAAATTTTAACTAAACTAAACTCTATCGATAGAAAATTAAACGAAATGGAGAAAACAAATCGTTATCGTATGTATATTATTCATTTTCAACAAAAAATAATTTAGACATATTACAAACTTTTTTTAGAAGAAATACGCTCAGTTGCGAGAACGAGAACGACGACCTTTACAACAACCAAAGACATTGAACTTCTATTAACCGATCAAGGAGGAGCAGTGATGACAAATGACCAAGTCATTTGACTATTTTGAAATGACCTTTAAATGACCTTAAATGACCAGGTAATTTTCATTTAAGTCATTTCAGTATTGGCCAAATTTAACCTTAATATGAATTAAGAAAAAATTAAGATATTAATATTGACCAAAATTATAAGATCACATGATATAATTTCTTTAAATGACTAGATCATTTATCATAACTTCAAATGACCAGTCATTTTAGTCATTTGAGGTAATTTAGGTCACTTGCCACTGAGGAGGAGTACCAATGAATTATCCTGTAGATATCGCGAATATACAATAAATTAAGTTACTGATCTCTTACAGGTTTATGGACCAGGTTCAGATGAAAACGAAAGCGATGATACTCTAAGAAGGCGACTTACGGATTTTCTGGGTGTAATGTGCATAGGGTGGTTTTTTTCTTTCTCTATCGATACTCAACATAATGCTATGCTATCTATATACACGACGCGGATACGATAATAATTTGGGGGATCGTACCGATCTGCAAAATCGTGTAATGATCAGCCGACATTTCTAGGAATTTCATAATTTTCTTTAGTTGTAAAAAAAAAGGTGATGAATTTGTATAATGATAACCGGATATCCTTAATTTATCATAAGGATATCCGCAGATCAGCGAATTAAAAAATGGCTTGGGAGTATAATTTAATAATATATATATATGGGAGCTGATCTATTAAAAGTGGGTTACGAGACATAGTAAATCATATGATCCGTACCTCAATTTTAATAGAATACTACCCATATATAGTTTTGCTCTATGTACTTATTTTTTTTTTTATTTGATACCGCGTGGCTTCTTTCTTTCCAATATAATGTCGATTTTTGAGTTACCTTCTTAACGAAACCCATATTGTGCCACATTCTAACTTCAGGACGGACGAATTCCATATCGATATGTCCAGAATATGTCGAAACATTTAAATTTTTTCTAAACTTGTCATTCTTTATTTTGTAATTTTTTGTATATTCTACAAATACCTGTAATTTATCTGAAAATTCCAATAATTTTATGATCAAATTTCTGAAAAAAATTTCCTTAAACTTTCAGAAACTTACAGCACTTTCAAAAACAATTAAATAATTAGCAATAAATTATAGATTATTAAAAAAATTCTATTTTACAATTTTAAGAAAAATTAAATACTATTTATTGAAATTCCTAAAACTTTATATTTTTTAATCTTTAAATCATAAAAGAAATTAGAACAAATTGTAAATTTATTAAATTTATTATATGCATAATTATTTTCTTAATATGAAAATATAAAATAACTAACTATAATACTATAATTTTGAAGATTTTAAATATTATTAAATATAATTTATAATAATAAATTTAATTATTTAATAAAATTATAATTTAATTATTTAATGATTACATACAAACTGCTTTTGATATATATATATCAAATACTTTATATAAGTGTTCGTTAAATAAAAACATTTATATAATTTGAAATTTTAATATTTAAAATAATAATTATGATTGTTTAAATTATTATCATCTATGTTTAATATATAATTAATTAATATTATTATATAATTTGTTAATAAATTAAATTACTTATTAACTTCATCATTCATAATATTTAAAATCTCTATAAATTAAAAATAAATATATTAAAATTAATATTTTTTTATAATATTTAATTTATATATTAAAATAATTACCAATATTTTGACTTGTTTCTTCATTATTTCGATTTAATATTATATTTAATCTTTTAGTAAAATCAAGTAGCCGACTTGTATGATATGCTTGTGAATGAAATTCTGTATAATTATTATTATGACATTGTCGATATCGAGAAAATTTTCTCTAATAGAGATTGTAAAGGGTTTGAAAGAACTTTACAACAAAGCTTAGAAAAGATTCGTGTTAATGCGACTTGGCTTAAACGTGATTCAAAATACGTTGAGGAATGGTTAAGTGCTATTGGTTTCTTGAAATGATTTAAACTCTCCAATAATGCAATTATTTATAAATATGACTCATTTGAGTAATATCTTTAATAAAAAGGTAATTTGGATATAAATTTCTGGATTACACATGAGTGAGTTGAATATATCGTTTTAAATAAAGAGTGAATGATATACTTGCAAATCATCAGATAAAAATAATAAAAATTATAAGCAATTTATTAAATACAGTTCTTGGTGAAACCAATAATAATTAAATCTTTTTAAAATATTGCATAAATTTTGTAAAAAAAAAAAATTTTAATTTTATAATGACTCAGTAACAAATTATTTGAAAAATACTTTAATCGTTTAATTTTTCAAATCAAATTTTATTATCCTTAAAAGTTTTGAATTAGATTATAACAGAGAACTAAATTCGGATATAGATTTAATAACACATTTTTAATAGCATCTTCAAATTTATTCAATTGTATAATTGGAACTTCTTTGAATGAATATCTGCTCTACAAAAGTGATTCCCTATATCGATATCAGTCAAAATGAAATCTTAAAAACATTTTCAAATTAACAAACCATATTTTGAAAAAAAAAAATTATTTTGTTCTAATCTAATTCAAAACATTTACATTTAAACTCCCACTTCCAAACGAATCACCGACGAATAAAAATATTTTATTATAAACTGAGAACGAAATATATTTAATAAGAAAGATTTCTTTGAAGTATTAATTAATTAATATATACATGTACTATCATATACTAAATCTTATTAGAATCATCACCTTCTTCCAAAATGGATTCATTTTTAATAACGCCACGTTATTCCTTCTAATCGTTCACAACATATCACAACGTTTCCAATTCAAATTTCATGAAAACAGTATGATTTCATATTTGTACAAAGTCATATTTAATGAATTATCATAAAATCCAATATATAATTTTTTTCTATATTCTTTCCATTCCTTTCTAAAAATTGAATAAAGTTTCCTTGATTCTCATTATTAAAATTTTCAATTTTGAATTGTTGTAGTACAATAGTTTTAGAAGTTTCATATTGATGTTTTAATACAAGTTCTTGCAAATTTATGAATTTTGCGAGAATAACGTTGTCTAATACATATGTTGAAGACTCGAGATATTATATTGAAAAAGCTGATAAATCAGAATCCATACCAGATAGACAACAATAATAATACCAAGAATTTTTAAACAATTGAATGCCATCAGGATAAGATAAGGGAGAAATTTGAACTTTAGACATTCTAAAATTAGTTCTTTTAAGGACAATTGTTACACTAAACGTTAAAAAGTTCCTGCATTACCATGAATTCTTAAATCTACTTTGCTCATCAATAATATCATTACGAATATCACTAATTGGAAGACACTTAACAAGTATATAAATCAATAATCTCTTCGATATCTTCCACAGTAATGAAATTATTTTATTTATGTAATATTCAAATGCAAGAAAATTGAAAATTGTTGTAGATCCCCTCCTTATTAATATTTGCTCAGGCGTACTTTATTTTCTGGCGTCATTCATTACTGCGAATAAAATCACATGACTAAAATTTCTGAGAGCCCGGTTCCGGAAAATGTTAAAAAAATTCGTATATTGCTGAAAGGCTACGTCTACAGAATAAAAAAATCATGTGCTTATTCGTTACAGGATGTCGATAACTTTCGCGAATATACGATAAATGCTAAATTATATTATATCATATGCAATTGGTTAAACAAATAGACTATTATTTTTGCAGTATATAGTCATTATGAATCGTAATAATATAGAAATAATTTTTTTCCCAGTTACAAAATGAAAATGAAATCAAACTAAACTCTTTTTCGAGGTTTTTTGGGATGGTTGTAGTTTCTGGAGAATTCTCAATAGAATATAACTTCTAACCCTTGTTCGTAAGTAAATCATTTTGTAATCATCAGGAAGAAATAATTAGAAAATTCGATTGACAGCTTGACAATATATAGGAACATATCTTCAACCGCAACATTTCCTTTAATGCAACGAGACTTTCTGTGATTCTTATTGTTGTTCCAATTTGATATTGACACGAAACAAACACAAAATGTATCCAAATCATAATACATAGCGTATATTGTTCAATTAAAACCTTTTTTGAATGTTAAATAGATTTTAACTAACTTTCGTAATGATAAAAAACGTTTGATACAAGAGGCTTTTCTCTAGATTACCGTAATTACCTTCATAGGATATTCCATGCAGAACAATGCTTTCCACCTTTTTGATCATTTATTTCGTGAATTTCAATTTCTTTTTCACTTCACTAAATAGTTTGTGATGGTAAAAATCAGCTTCGAATTATGGGGATCTTTTCCGCGTCATATCATCTATACAAAAATAATATCAATTTTATGTCCTGATTGCTTCTTTTATGTCTCCTCTCTTGGTATATACTTGACATAAGCGAAGCCAGAGACATTTCTTCACAGCTGGGATGGATGGAAAAACAAACAATTAGCATGGAATATAAGACGAAAAGCAAAGAAATAACAGAAATTTCCATATTCTCCGATCGACTTGGATATCCTCACATGTTAGGAAACAATCATCAATTAATGGTGCCAAAATGCGACAATTGATCCAACTCCGGATTTCTTTCAAGAATGGATTTCGTGGAGCTTCAAACAAAAGCAATCTACAAAAGCAATCTAGTGAGTGTCGGAATATAAATCCTATGTAGACATTTAACATAAAATATGCAAATGTTATGCTTTCATGGTAAGAATGCGGCTTGGAGTTTCTGACGAAGATATTTGCGATATCACTTTAAATCGACTGTCTAGTATCTCTAAGACTTTCTCTCTCCGTTCCGTATCGGTTACTTCATTTAATGCAGAATTCACAGCGTTACCTGTTAAAGTACTAATGTCTTCATCTTTTCCTAAGTTATCATATGTTATTACCATTCACCACTAGATAAACCACATTAGCACCACAAAGGTCCAGTTAATAGAACATTTTCGATTTTGGATACAAAGTTTAACACTATTAAAGCAATTTCGGTGAAGAAAAAAGCAAAAAGCAATAACATAATATATACTGACTTTTAAATGTTCTCCATACACGTCTTCTTAAGACTTGCATTCATGTTGCAGAAGAGACAGGAGTATATGCAATGCCATTTACGTCAAAGTTTTGTGTTCGAGAATAAGGACATTCGGAATGTGCATTAAAGTTCCTATAAAAAGTTGATCCGTGATTGTTTTCCATGTTTTTACCGTGAATAGCTCACGGAATTTATATTCTTAAATCATGAAAATTTTCATATCATTTATACGGATTCGTGAAAGGCTCATTTTCACGGAAATTTTATGTAATCCACAGAGGAAAATGGAAATATTTGGGCGAGAATTTTTTATAGGGAGATCTCGACATTTATAAAAGCGTAGGAGATAATGTGTATATAGACTTTTTTTTGCTCACTCGTACTTCTTAGACATAATAACAATTTATAAAATGCACCTTAAAATAAATTTTTCAGGACAACTAACTGATATTGAGAAAAAAGCGTCACACATGTTTACATGCATTTTGGCTTTATGCTTTTCAGATTTATAGAACTTCACATTGCCATTATTTATCAGAAATGGTCATTTTAAATTATTTCTGAAAAAAATATTTTTTAAAAGAAAAACATATGGTATCGTAGTGCCAGGTCATGTCATAAGTGTGAAAAGAAGGCAAATTATGAAAATCGGTAATGGGTCACAGATAATGTCGGATCGGATTTTTTGTAGCCCAAAATGCCCTACATAAGCATTTCAGAAGATTGTTTCGGAATTTGCCCCAAATGATCACTACGGATAATATCCTAAATGACTATTTCAGACATTCACGAATTGTAATTCGAACGACTTCTTCGAACCGTTTCAAATGAGCACAGACACTTAGAAAATTAACATTATATGTCCAAAAATTGAATTATTAATTGCCCTATATTTGACATTTGGATCATTCGAAATGGTTGTTTGGAGCATAAAATAGTCATATTGAGCATCCGAATGATCATTTGGATAACCGAAGTGGCTATTTGAGACAATTTAAAGTGGTTATTTAGGAAATGAGCATATGGTATATTGTCATTTTGGATACGCATTTAATTCATTATGATCATCCATGTCATGTGACTTAAATTCCAAACTTTTTTTAAATCTCTGTATATAGGTCAAAATTTTAAGCTTGAGTCGTATGATAAAAATATTAATTTACTTATAAAAAAGTAATATTTATTAATTACGATGTTTATACGTAAATTACAAAATTTAGGATTATTGATAATTTTATTATCTGTTATCAATACTTCCTCCCATCCATATCCTGTATAGGAAGAATCATTACATGCATACCCTGTACATAGGGTAGCGCTCAATCCACGAGGAGTGAAAGTAATAAATGAAATATGCATTCATTGGTACGATTATACTCAACAAAAGAAATTAACTTATTGCTACATACTACGCAAAAACCCATCATCAAAGACATCTCCAAATTAGTCAATAGGATATAAACTCTCTATTCATACAGAAGGTGGTACATTTCATGAAGGACCATTTTTTTGGTGGGATGCCTGGGTAGGATGAATATATTGCAATGATATACATTTTCATTTAAAAGGTTTAGGTTTAATTCTTAAGCTTTCTTTTACATGTGAAATAGTTTACAATAAATGTTTCTGGGAATAATAAATCAGATGATTTATTTTTGGAGGAATTCCAAAAGTAGTTGTATATGCTCATAATATATCTTACAGTCGAGGCATTTTTTCTTATTAAGTAAAAAATAAATAATTTTTCATTTATTAAATTAACTAAATAAAGAATTTTTTTTCGCCAAATTGATTTTCTTTTTTAAATTTAATTTAAAAAAACTAAATATTGAAGTTGGAAAACTTAATTCTTGTCAATTTTTGGAATACGCTTCGCCTAGCTTTGGAAGATAGTTCTGTAGAATTTCCATATAAAAATTACCTATCATTATCGTTTAA